ATTGTGATCTCCCACCTTCGTTCCACATGGATCACTTTTCCTGACGTGCAATATTTTAAAACTGGAGCTGGTCTAAAATTGTATCTAGTCAGACTTGCAGCGCTGGTGCCCTTTTTTCAAGGTTAAATGATGTGTAGAGGGATATCTGAGAAAATGATACTTGATATGGAGTTTGATGCCGCATAAAGTAGTTCAGGGTGTAAACACCAAAGCTGTGTGTAGCAGTGTGGACATGCCATTGTCGCTTCTTTGTGTGCTCACTTGCTTTGCCTTACTGTAAAGACTCTTCAGTTCAGGCAGTGCACAGACTGATATTTTTTGAGGACATGAGTTGACTTGATGCGTCTGCTGAAATTTTGATTCAGCTTGTTTGGATTTTTTTTATTTTATTTTATTTTACCTATTCAGAGAGGTAGGCTTTCTGGAAACTCTGAAGTGTCACGTTCCCAAATAACTTGCTGCCATAGTTTAGCAGCGTATAGATTCCAACCTAGTGACTGAACAAAGCGCTGAACTAAAAATACGTCTGGGACCCAACAAGTGTCTGAGAGTGCAAATTGTTTTTGAACAAATCAGGGCTTTGTAGATTGGGATTTCCAAACTCCCCTAATTTATGGCTGCCAAAAAATAGATTTGCATCAAGTTGTGTCTGCTGACTAGCTCTTGTCTCATTTGATTTATAAATTGCACAGATATTTCTAATGAATCACATTCCAGACTAACCACAGGCTCCTGTTGGTCGTTGGTAAGAGCGTGGCGAACAAATGCTTCTCGCCCGAACCAACAGAAGAGTTGACTCCAAGCAGTTTTACCCTTGTTAGTGCTTGCTCCTGCAATTAAAAAGATGTAAACAGGATGGGGGCAGAGGAGAGGATTGGTGGCTGGGATATTTCTGAACTTAAATTTAATTACTCTTTTTGCTTCTCTGCCAGGTAGCATCTCTAATAAACCTGCTAATTTCGCTTCTCCTTATTTGATGCAATGGGGGGAGTTGGAGTGACTTTTTTTTTTTTTTTTTTTTAATATTCATTTGAAGATGGACTTACAAGTAAACTCAGGCTGCAGGTAACTTCTGTATTTCTCAGTAGGTTTATTTCAATAGACCAACTACAAATCGAGCTCAATTTTTGCATAAGTAATACATTTCTCACTAAAAACAATAAAGGGAGAAAAATTACTAAGTGAATTTAACTGGGTCTTCTGGGGAAAAGTTCCAAAGCTAACCGTTAACACTTTTAGGCCCAAGAAGAAGCAAGAGCCAATACCTAGGACTTTAAGAGGAGCGGGGCACTCTGATTTTACGGAAAGGCAATGAGAATTGAGCACCTACCTCCTACTTGTGCCTTTGAAAAGCTTCACATGTAGTTTAGCCACCAGTATTGTGAAGAACAGAATAAAAGGGCAGCTGTTTTTCCTGAAATGCTTGGCCCATGAACTTGCCCTGTTGCAACCACACTCCTAGTTCACCCAGCCATGGTTTTTCTGAGTTGCAAGGGTAAATTTGTGTGCTTGGTAACCAAAGCTTTGTGTCTCGTACTGTATGTGGGCTTCTCAAATATGAATGGGAACAAAAGCAGATGTCAGAAATATTGCATGCAGCTTGCCAAGCCCTGGTATGTTGTCCAGTTGACTCGACTTAAGGCAGCTGGGCCCTGCTGTAAGAAGAGGACGCAGGATTGTTTTGTCTGAATTCACGTACTCCACACTTGTGTCATTTCTAAGCCTTTTGCATTTTATTTCTTATTCCCGTTAAAACGTGGTTTCTGTGGGTTCCGTAACTCCCGACTTTTTTCCATTATAGAATTGTTTATTTTACTTTTCAGTGGAAGAATTGCACCAAATTGGTTTAGTCTTCAGGTGGCTTGATGGATGTTTACAGCTGCTTTCCCAAATGTGCTTTTCCATTGACCATTGATTGCTTTAGGATTTTTTTCCCCCCCTCTGGCAAGCATTTGTGGCCAAAACTGTCAGACCAGCATTAGTAGGAGGACATATTTGAGACCATCAGGCCATTTGAGAGATAGCAGCACTCTTAAGAGCTGAGAGAGCTTAGAGTATTTGTTGCAAGAAGTTATTACTCGGCCTCTCTGCAGAGATTTATGTGGGTGTTTTGCCTAACTGTCAGCCTTACTGGACTCCTTTCCCCTTCTGCCTCCCCTTGTCTTTCCCCCCCCCCCCCCCCCCCCCTTTTTTTTTTGGTCATCCCATGTTATAATCTTGACTTTTCTGCCACCTCCAGCCAATATCTCAGCTTTACACATTTCAAAACAAAACCATGTGTATGACACCTGGAAGTGTGACAGGTTGGTAATTGTCCTCTTTTCAGATTGAAACCAGCAGTGTTTTATCACAGTGGGCCACAGTTGTGTGGTACTGTGGTAGGTCTCCCAAATTTTGTGGAACTGAAAGCCAGACTTTTTGATTCACACGCCGTATCTCTGACTACCTTGGCAATGATCTTGGCCTTGCCCTTGAGGGGCCCTGGGAAGTGGCACTTTGCAACTAACACACACACAGGACTTTGGGGTTTTCCTCCATGCAAATTTCCAGTTCAAGCTAATAGTGTTGTTGAGTTGTGCAACTGGAGCCCACAGCTTTAGGCAGAAGACCCGAAGACCATGTCACCGAGTTGCTTGTGGGTATAAAGGGTGGGTGGGGATTAACATCAACATCTGTTGAAATTGTATATGGTCAGGGAACCTGAACTCTAGATCTGGGCTCTTCCACACGCCTTGTGGGCCTGGGTCAAATGAAGATGCTCTTTGTTTTGCCTGTTTTAAATTGTAAGTGCTTTGGGGCAGGGACAGTCCCTCTTTTGAATACAAAGTGCAGCCAAATAGAACTCCTGTCCCCGTGGGGACTCATCATTACTGGAGTACAAGTAATGAATGATTTCGTTCATCCACCAGCTGTTTCTTTGCCCTTCAGCAGCAGAACTTGGTGTTTAGCAGCTCTCTTCAGCATAACTCTTTTGGTTTTGGAGAAAGATGTCCTAATTTAGCAGGCAAGCAAAGCCGGGCCCTCTACCTTTATTTAAAGGGGCACAAACAGCAGTGTGCAAAAGCGCTCACTGGGCATAACAAATTAGTCATTCTTATGAGAGGCCAGGAGTAGGTGAAAACAACTGGCTTAGCTGCCAAGCAACTTCTGTACCGAAGGACTAGAAATAGTTTATTGTATGGCAGTCAGCGCTACCATGCAGAAATTTTAAAATAGGGCAAAGACTTTTTCTCAGCAGTCCTGTTTTGCTACCTGCGCTAACTTGGCTCTCCATTATTTTAATCTGTTGAGAACAGCCATTCATGTCGACGAACGTAGTTCTAGTGAAAACCTCACCGTAAGCCTAGGAAAGACCTCGCTGCATTGCCCCTGGCCTTAGATCGTTAAAATCTAGGTGATCTTTTGCTCTGGTCTCTTGGATCAGGTGAGCTTTTGAATTCCACCCCACACTCCCTGAATTAATCCCGTAAGCCCCAGTGGTCCCCCCACAGCCCCGGATTCAAATACTCAAAAACAAAACAAAAAACACAAGGGGAGGTAGTCATTGGCGGCTGAGAGGATAGTGCAATTAGTCATACTCTCTCCTGTCCCCTGAATCGTTATATTGACTGATTATTTATTTAGTTGTTGTTGTTGTTGTTGTTCTTTGTGTGATAAGTACAGTTTTGATTGACTTTTTTTGTGCCCTGACCCCCGCAGCACTAATAGACCATGACTCAGTTAAGGGAAAAAAAAAACAAGGGAGGAAAATTGTTGACAGACTGTCTCCCAAGATGATGACAAAAACCCACCATGTAATTAATAGCAGAAACTCAAATCTGAGCTAGGGTTGCTGTGCTTGTGAAGTCAATTGATTACGATGTTATTCAAGAAGCTAAATCCAAGTGCAACTACGCTATTTTCACAAAATACTTGGATTTTTTGGGAACTCTTTAAACAGCTCATTCTGTGTGGGCATGCATCTATCTTGCACAGATGTTGGGAGGGGATATTTAAGCGGGGCTTATTTTTATTTCAGAATATCTAGTGTTCAGCATAAAGCTAACTGAACTGTTTCTGCAGCTGGAAGTTTGTTCTGATTTTTTAACTGTATTGCACTTCATTTCTTGTACAGATTTTGAGGTTGCCTCTATCTGGGCTGTGTCCTCAAACCACCCTCCTAACCTGTAAAGGAAAGCGGAGTTCATAAGTCAAATTAACAATGATGTGTGGCTTTTAAATAGCACTTTGTTTTCAGAGAACCTGAGTCAGGTGATTCCCATTTTACAGATGGGGAACTACCAGAAAAATTACATGACTTACCCAGGGGATTCCTGTCTTATTAACTGGTACCTTCAGGAAGGAATGGGGAAGGAACATCTTGCTTTTGTTGGGTCCAGCTCAGACATTGGGGTTTGTAAAAAAAAAAAAAAAAAAAAAAAAACCCCCCCCCCCCCCCCCCCACTTGGTTTTAACAAAACTTAAGAGCAACTTAGATGTTTTTCTCGGATGATTTGCAAAAGTCCACTTTGAAAAAAATGTCCTTTTTATTATTAAATCCTTTTCAGATTTTGCTGCCCAGTACACTTGCCCGGTGCTAGACCTTGGTCACTGAAAAACAAGTCAGCTTCATTTTTTTTCTGGTTGCTCAAACGGAGCGTAGTGCAAGCTAAGCATTGATTGTTAAGGTGTGCTTCCTACATAGTTTTATTTTAACTCTTCCCATGTAAGATCTTTGTTGTTAATAACCCAAGCAAGAACCATATTGTTTAACTTACCAGCTTGTTACTGTTGAAACAGGGGCACTTTTTCTCAAGTATGAAGGTAAACGATTCTTCTCTCACAGACTAGATTTAGTAACAAAAACACTGTATCTGGTATCGAATGTACAGGGCAAGTGGTGTTGGCTTTCTGTATACTGTACATTTATCTACATTTCCTGATGGCTTTACCCTAAATGGTTTTGCTCCCTGCTGCTTAGACGCGCCCGGCATACTGACAGCTCACTTAATGTTTTCCAGGGTCCACACATAGCGTCCGTGACACTTGCTGCATATGAATGTAACTCAGTTAATTTTCCTGAGCCGCCATACCCTGATCAGATCATCTGCCCGGAAGAGGAAGGGGTGGAAGGATCCATCACCCTCTGGACCATCATCTCAAAAGTCAGGCTGGAAGCCTGCATGTGGGTAAGATTTAACTTCTACCAATTTACCTAACATGAACCGCCCAGCAGTAATATGTAATGGTTCACTTTGGAGCCATAACTTCTTGCTCAGTCAGATGTCTGCTCGATGAGATCTGAACCTCTTATAAAGAAATAGCGGGTAAGTGGAGGGATCGGTTTTTATCAGCTGCTGTTCCAGGGAGGTGGTGGAGAAGGTGGGGAGGGAACTTTTTAGTTTACCAAATAAATTCTTTGTTCCGGAGTCCTAGGAAAACTCGGAGCTATTTCAAAAGCCAGCGGTTTTCTCAGTGGTGTAATAGAAAATGCTCTGGCGCTTGAGGAGCTTGGTGCAAAAGACAAGGTTTTGATAGGCAAATTAGTGCCCCTAAATGGTCTTACAGATGCAAAGTCTTGATCCTTCAAGCAGTTAAGTGAGCAACTTGGCTCTTGCAAGTAAGTGCTTGGGCCCTGTTCATGAGCAAAGTTATGAATATGTATTTGCAGGGTCCAGACCCTGGTGTCACAGCTGATTCGTATCGGCTGTGAGAAGTCTATACATAATCCAGACATGAACTTCAGTGTATGGGGAAACATTTCCTTACAACAAAGAGAAAATATAGTTGGTGAAGACTGAATCAGATTCTGAGGGTGGGTTATTAGGGTGGGTGTCAGTGACTGTCACCGCAGCAGCTCTGTCGCCTGATTTTTTTTTTATTTTTTTTTTATTATTTTTTTTTTTTAATGGGGGGGGGGGGTCTTTTCTCTTCATTTTTCTTAATTTTATTTTTTAAGAATATAAATCAGCTAAGAGATGCTTCCCGTTAAATATAAACTATTGAAACTTAGGCAGGCACATCTGCTCTAAACTGCTCGTGTGTCAGAGCACTCAATTTTACCACTGATTTCCTGTTCTGACTGTTGGTTTAATTATAAAATACTTGTTTCTCCAATTTAGGTGTTGGAGGGGGAAAGTCCTGTAGTACATGATGTCTAATTACTTCTCTTTCATTTCTGGGAGCCTTCAGTATATGCAAATAGCTTACCAAAAACTCCCATTTATTTTGCTTGTTACAATTTAAAAAATGATTAGCAGCCCAGCTTCCCACCAAGAAAGTTGAAGTTTAGATCATACGCACCATTTTTTCTAAAAACAATGGAAGAATAATTACAGAAATATTAATAAAGGCTGGAACTACCCATGACTGTCAATAAGACTCACAGTAAATGTTTTATGCTCATTTTGGCTAACTAGAGAGCAATACCACATAAAAGATCAAAACCAGGCAGAGTTAACTGAATCCACTATAAATGAGTATTTGTAAAATATGTACAGGATCTTTATTTTTTTTTTTCCGCAGCTCTAAGTCTTAATGGAGTAGAAACAAAAAGAATGAACTTTTCAGATAAAAATTG